GCTGGACTTGATTCGGCTAATAAGCTGCAAACTTAGTTATTCACAAAGCTCAAGAAACACATTCAGTCAATGATTGAACTCAAAGAATTGCTCTTAGTTTGTCACAATGCAGTTTTCTACGTTCCCCGTGTGCGATGAGAAGTTATATTTGTTTCTAGGAAAACTGAATGCACAGTTTTCTTCAGGATTTTTAACCGTAACAAAAAACTTCTTATACCTCTGCTTTTTCACCCACAAGCACAACACATCAGTGTAACTCTGTTAAAAATTCTTGCATATTTAAGCAGCTAAGGCAAAACTAGGTATGTTCCCAAAAATGTTAAAACTGGAGGTATTGCTGCAAGACCCCAGCTTGGGGTCCAAGTATTGTTTTTTTAGGTTGCAAAATCAAATTGTCCATTCCTGTGTTTCTTGAGGATATGAATTTCAAGATATAAAGCGTTTCTTAAAATAAATAGAAATGTTGCTCCTAAAAATAATATATGAGATTTTCTTTCACATGTGGGATTTTAAAAAAATGAACCCTGCTATATTTTACAGCTTTGGTTACTCTGTAGTATCACATACCAATTAATAAGGACGTAAAAATTTACAGAGGTGTGTGGTTTCCTGGGTTTTATTTACATAAGGTTCTTTAATCACTTACAATGCTGGATTGTGCTTCCCCTCTCACCTCAAAAATTAAGACAGAGGTATGCTTCTGAGAAAGATTATGTACCAAAAATCACAGCAGTTAGGAGATCTGCAAGTGTTATCCTCTTGAAGCCAACTCTCCTAAACACTGTGTTTTGAGGGTCAAGCAAATTGTGTGCAATTTGCTTGACCCTCAAAGGCAAATCTGTCTGTGACTTCAGTCCAGGCAACACGAGGAAAGTCAACCAGCTGTATATTACAGGGCCTCAAAAATGTATCTGCTCTCGCTCAGTTGAGGGAAGATTTATTCTCTCCACCCTGATAGGTCCTGGCTGTGTGCTACTCCTCCAGGGCTGACATGGCCCTGTGGGGATGGGATGGTGGACTGCTGGTTGACCAGCATCCTGGCAAACAGAAAACTGAATGTGCTAGGTCCAAACTGGTATTATATCACTGATGCTTGCTGGGCTGCACTGCCCCCAGCACTGCTCATCGTGTACTTGGCAATTCCTGTTCACCTCTGTCTGGCACAAACAAGTGATGCCTGCCTTTCAAAAAGAAACTACTCCAGTATCAAAAGTTAAAAAAAATATATTTTAAGAGTTTAAGAATAAATTGGATGCCATTTTCTAGGCAGTATTAGGTGAAGATATTGGATACTTCAATGAGGAAACCAAAGCTGGAGTCTTTGAAAATCCATCACTGAGCAGCTGTTGCTTTTTTTTTTTTTTAAAAAAAAGCCTGCTTAGTATCATAAAAGCAAATTGTATCATATTTTACTCTTCTTTTTTCCCCCCAAAAGATCTGCAAAACTTCTAACATAAGCTCTTCTGTCAGTTCAGCAGTTATCTTCTTTAAAAATGAATCAGCCTTTGATTTATTTAATGTTAATCTAAACCTGTGTTGTAGCCAGAAATTGTGTAAACCTTCAATGGATTTATTCATAATATATGCTCAGACACATTTTGCCATCACTTCAGACTAAATATTAATGTTTTAAATAATATCGAGGTATAAAACAGTTTGAAACCAAACATACGGAAAGCACTGACAAGGATTTGCTGGGACAGCAGTATGTTAAATAAATAAAGAGCAAAGTGTGTGAGAGAAGAATTATGTGCCACAATATCAGCTGGGAAAGAAGGGAAGATGCATTCAGTGCTGATATAAGTGAAGGACAAGAACTGATGATGTATGCAATGACAAATATGAGAATGCAGCTAGTCTTCACCAGAAGAAAGCTGACGGGGTCTCCAGTGAGTAGGGGGGTCATGGGAGGAGAATGCCTCTGTTGCTCTTGTGATCACACAGTGAACTAGAACTACCAGTCCAATAGAGAATGTTACATTTTTTTCATGCTTGCCAAGTCAGTTTTCTGCTTTTTTGGGGAGCTGAGTCAAGTTATTATGTGATCAGGTAAGTGCTGCAGAGAAGGTAAAGTAAGGTGGGCTGGAAGGAGAGAGGGAAACAGCTTATGCATCTCTCAGTGGAGAAGAGCTGTTAATTTAGCAAAGTAAATATGGAAATATACTCTTGGGAATTTGCACACAAAACCTCTTCACAGAAGAACTAAGCTTCTTCTGACAGGTTTAGACTAATCCTAGGGCAAGATTTGCACAAACTTTTGTGGGCTTGAATTACAAAAGTTATAGAATTTTATATTTTGCACCTTTTTTTTTTTGATAGTGGTAAAACAGTCTTTTGACTGTGACAATAGAGAACTAGCTACTGCATGGTTTTCTATGAACATTTTTGTCCTTTAAGTGGAACACAGACATTTGTATTGTGTTTGTGTTTACTGTCAAAGACTGTCACAAATGAAAAACATTTCTGCTAATTTTAAAGACTTAACAAATATTATTACTTCTTTCATACATTAGTATAGTACTTACTAGGAGCTAGGCAAACTGATTCAGAATATTTTAATAACAGTTTCAAACTTGAAGCCAGAATAGCTGGATATATGCACTGATCCCTAAAGATCTGCCACTCTTTACAAACCCTAAAGCTCTTCCTGGACCAGCTCTACTTGAGGTATTAGTTTTACGTTAATCTTAGCTAGTAAGTTAAACAGTTTGTGTTTAACAAAAAACCCAGTCAAATACAACATCTTTGGTTGACTGGAGCACAGATCTGGGTCAGAGAGTTAAGATTGCTTCTACTGACTGCAGTGAACAGAGGCCAAGCTGTTAACGGGACAAGAGCAAAACCCTCATTGCTGGAAAAGTGGAAAGCATGTGAAGTATGGAGAAAGTGAGAGCCAAACAGGAGATTATTTTTAGCTACCTTTTCTTATATTACGTATATTTTTATTTTGTATATATATTTATATATCTTAACTACATTTTTCTTATATTATTAATAGTGATGTCTATATTTATAATACTATAAAATAACATTTAAAATGTGCTTTAGAAGAAAGATAGCATTTTTTTCTAAATGTAGACCACTATTTTTCAATGTTAAATTACAATATTTGTCATACGATAGTAGTTCCATTTCAGTGAGGCAACCCCTCATGTATATCTTAGTTTTCTTTTTGTAAGTCTGTAAGTATTGAAATAGAATTTAAAGGCACCTGTTTAAATTAACTAAATTATTAGTTTAAAGTATGAAACAGCTCTACTAAAATAATATTTCTTAAACGCTTTTTTAGAAGGTAGCCATTTTTAAACAATTTATAAAAATAAGATCTTGTAAATTCTGAACGTCTTTTCCTAAGCTTTCTAAGCAGATAAAGCTTTGTCTTTGTTAATTTCTGTCACAATTGTAATCTTGGTAATTTCTTAAGAGCTGTCCAGTTGCATTAATAGATGTAAATACTCCTCAAAATGAGATTTCTACTCAGAACTAATAAATGCATGTCTTCATAATAAAAAACGAACATGCACATTTCAGATGCAGCTACTGAAAAAACTTAGTTGTATGTTTTGGAATGCTGTGCCTCTTCCTTAGTTCATTTTTTTCCCCAAGTACTTTTTTCTGCTTGTAATGGTGTCAGTAAATAAAACTGACATGTGTTACTAAATATTATCTCTCTTAATAACACAAAAACCAATCAGATCCTGGGCAAGTCTCTGCCTAAAATGTAGGATGATCTTTTTGAGAGTGTTTGTTCCTTCCAGACTCCGGAGCATACACCTGTGAAATGACAGATCTGCTTTTCAGTTTATCCTGGAGAAAACAATCCATTATCTGGGATTCTCTAGGAGTGTCTTCATTGGTGTATCTGGATTATTTTTACCTGAATTTTAGGTGTAATACATTGCAGTCCCCAGCAAAACATTTAGACTTTTAGAAAAGTTCTCCCTGAAAATGCTGTGGATGATGGCTGGAATGTGGAGGCACAGTAAAATAAAAAGTGTGAGTATTGGCCAAAATGTGCACACTCTGGGAAAAGATTTAAAATAAGTGAGTTTTATATGTAGACCACCCTACCTATGCTTGCTGTTTTAGTCCATTTTTCATGCAAATATGCATTGGTATTTATGCACTCGACTCTTTTGAAAGCCAAGTAAAGGACCACTTGCCCTGTGTTCAGTGCTTCATCTTGCAGAGTACCATAACAGCAAATCCACACTGATCAAAGCAATGCCATGTAAGATCAGATCTTGACTCAGGAAATGCACATTAACTCAAGAATTACATCGGAACTAATAATCCCCAAGTTTCAACAGGGCTTCAGAACTGTAACATCTCTGCACCATGTCTGAACTTAACCTAGATTACACCTGACAGCTTAGTGCTTCTGCTTTTTTTTTTGCTCTGTACTTTTCAGGCTAGGGTCAGCTTCTCTAGGCTTCATAAATCTCCCTCTATTTTAGGTTAGAGGACCATTTCTGTTCAGTTAAGCCTAATCTCTTTCTTTTTTTTTTATCATCCCTTGCCTGTATATCTCCTTTAATAACCATCTGAGTAGGAAATAACCCACCAAAATAAATACACACCCAGAAGCAGGCTGACTGTCATCATACAAATTCATCATTGTCATCACAATGCCTTCCCACTGATTAAATTCATTCTCATTTATGGTAAAAAGCCCTCAATTTTTAAGGACCCAGAGGCTTTCTTTTTTTTTTCCCATTTTCTCACCTTCCCAATGAGGGAAGCTCCTGTAGATGTCAGTCATGACAGAAATTGTCACAAAGTACCATGTAACAGAATGTGTCACTCATCTGAAAAACAGCATCATGTTGTCCTCTTAAGGCAACAGCATTGCTTGTGGGTACTGGTACATACAGACTTGCCAGTTGTGGCTGTACAGGACAAGCAATTCTTAGTAAGCTGAATCTCAGCTGTATTTTGTGAGCTCAGGTTCTTTGCTTAACACCATGGTAAAATGCACTTCTGAAATTATATTGTACTACTCGCACTGCTCATAATGACACTTTACGATGTACAGTTTTCTTCTGGCACTTCTATTTCATGCTGCAAAATTTTATTTTCTCGCAATCCACTGAAACATATAAAACATTCATTTCAGATGCTGAGTTACTTCAATAACATTGATTGAAGTTAAACTTGCTTTTGACAGCAGATTAACTCAGGCACAAGTTTCCTTTAGAACACTGTTGGTATCAAATTTGATACAAATCAGTGTCACTCCGAATCCAACACCTGGGAAACATTTCCAATATCTGATGCAGTTTCCTAGGGCTGCAAAGACTTTGAGGTGGAAAGTAGTTCTTTGATACATTAGTATTGCAACATTGTAATTAAAAGCCTTCAAATATTCAATGCCACATAAAGATGTGACAAGACAGCATTTGTCATCTTTTTTTTTTTTTTCTCTCCACCCTTGGAGCAAACTGTAAACTGAAATCTTGCACTGGTTGCAACTTGAAGTCTAGAGGCTATATGATCCTGTTTGTTTGGCCAGAATGTTTTCATGCCTCATACATTTCTGTCACTTATGTGAAAAGCTTTTGCAGAATGTGTATTTAATTTTGCTGCACCACTGTAGCTTAGTTGTGAGTCAGAGAGTATAGCCCATTTTCTTAGGGATTATGTATCTATCTATCAGACAAATGTAGCCTGCAAGTTCAAAATCATTTATGGAAAATTGTGTTCATAATGAATAGTCCTGCTAGAGAAAAATAGATTAAATTGTGCCCTAAGTTACACAAACACCTATTGGTTTATCTCTGTGGTCCTCAGTGCTACTCCAAGTATAATTTAGGATAATTTGGAGCATACTCCTTTGTACAATTCAGTATCTCTGTACTGTTCTCAAGTCACTACTTACAAATGTTCATTACATTAAAATATATTTGAGATAAAGCAAAACTACCATATAAATAGCTACCAGTCATCATTCACCTTCTTGTTTCCTACCCACATAAGCTTTTTCTTATGACACTTTCACGGAAGAAATCACACGAAACTTAAATACATTTTCTTATTTTTATGTGAACTGATTATATGAAACCTGGCCAATAGAAATAGGTAGTGAAATGAGCTGGTAAAGACATTCTCACTGAAGCATCAAGCATGACTTCATTTCCATCAGAGGACTGCAGTGTTTTGAGATGGAAGTTTAAGAAGTGTATAATAGTATTACATAATTTTTACAAATGGTTTTTTTGCTTATGAGACAAAAGAATTTTACTTGCATCCCAGGATTTTCTCTGTTCACTCTTAATGTGGAAATCCTAGTGACTTCAGTGAATAAAAAGAGGATGGATAATGTAATTAATTAATAACGTGGCATAGGTTAATTTGTATTGACAAAAACATAGCAATATTCTTCCAGTTTAATTTCCTTTGGGATGTTGCATATGAACCACAGTCACACCGCAACTAGCAAAGAGTAATTTCCAAGGGATGCCTGTCTTTTTTCTCCTTACTCCCACCTCCTTCCCTACCTGCCTGTCAAGGTGTCTGCAGCATGTACTGAATCTCAGCTGCATTCCAAGACTGAGCCAAGCTACACCTTTGGGCAGTGACAAAAATGTTGCATTTCCCCCTCAACAGACCTTGGAAACCTCACATCATTGAGCCCCTTGCCCTTATGTCAGATTTGGCTGGTGATGGCCGAAAATTGCAAAAGAGGCAGACAACACAATTTCATAGGCCTTGTTTTCCCAGGGAACTAGGCAGGAAACCAAATGAAGAGCACGAAGTTAAATGAAAATAAAATAACCTGTGGAACCTTAGTATCTCTACATGTAAGCTGACTCAGTAGAGGTAGACTTTAAACAATAGATGAAGGATGTGAACAGTATGTGTGTCTTTTTCTCAAGGTTTCAAAAAAACCCTAAAACCCATACTCATCTAAATCTAACAGATTAGCATGTCAGTGCCAGACCTGTGTTTTTTCTAAATTACTACTAGTTGCTTTTTAATCTATGGTGTTTTAGGCAGAGATTAAACAGATGGTTTGGCTTTTACCTAAGCTATCATGGTTGTCTGCTACATTGAAAACAACCCAAAACCTGGAATAAAAACATCTGGATTAAAAAGATCAAACATAAAGTAAAATATTCTGAAAATACACTGAAAATATGCCAAAAGCATAAAAATTATGGGAATGAAGCACCTTTGGTTACTAAGTCAGGACTAGCTAACAGATTCACTGTGACAACATTTGAATGCCAAACTTTTTTTCTATGCCCTCTCCCTTACTATGCCACATATCCTTCTCTCCTGGCATCTAGCATCTCATCTAGTACAACAAGAGAGTTATTCAGAACTCTCAATAAGATGATTATTCTCATTTAATTGATTTATAGGCAACGTGCTTGGAGCTAAATCACAAGAGATACAACTGCATTGCTTTTACTTTGTCCCTGCTAAACATTTAATTCCAGAATAATATGTTTTAAGTTGTATTAAGATGTAGAATGGTCTCAAAATTAATATTCTTTATTGAAATACACTTGGTAATAAATAAGAAAAGGAAAAAACACTCTTCTTTCTAGTCCTCATTATTTTAAACCCATGGTATCATTATAAGTTTTACTGTCTATTTTAATAGAAAGATGTGAAACAGCTATCTTCCAACATTTTGGTTCCATTTTCATGTAGATGGATGAAGTTGTGCTTCATCCTGGCCTGAAAGCACCAGAACACAGGGGAAAATTGAATTTAGGTGCTGCATTCCAACTTCTTGCCATAAGAAAAAATTGCATTTTACAGATACTTGAATTTTGGGATAACATTGCTCCAGGAGACATAGTGACCATACAGAATCCAAAGAAGAAAAAACTTAGATTGAAAATATGCTGTGATTAGTGCTCTGTGGCTGAAAAGCTGCAGTAATATTGCATATTACCAGTTAAACTCCTGCATGTTGACTTTAAAAATACACAGCATAGCCACAAGCAGAACTAAAATTGGGGTACAGAACTTCCTTACTCCCAAGGATAATAGCTAAAGCTATATCTGGGTAAACCTTTACTTTAACAACTAGAGAAATAGAAGTCAATGAGAACTCTTTCCAAAGCATGCTCATAATCTGACCAAAATGGTGTGTATTGGAATGAATCATTCATTCTTTTTTGCAAGTCTGATGGCTATTATATAGTGAATCAGGTGATTTATTTCTTTAAGCACTTTTTCAATAACCTCTTCTGAACCATCTGTACTCAGGGAGAAAAGAAGAATTGAAGAATTTTAAACATTTTAATTTTGGTGGAATAGACCATTTCATAAAGAAAACACCAAAATTAATGTGCTGATTTTTTTTTTTAATAAGAAAGTAAAAGTTTTTCTACTGTAAAAATGGTAGTGTTGAACTACATAGGGGTTTTTCTGATAGTAAACAGCCCAAAAAGGAGACTGCTTGATGGACTCTCCTTTTCCTATTTACACCTTCAAAATGACTATGCAATTTTTAACATGAAAGAGATTATTAGGCAAGTTTGCTAAGTTGTTTAAGCTATCTCAAAATGCAGTTCAGTAGCTGAAATCCAGAAAGCATGCCAGCATCTTATAATGAGAGAACATTGCATAAACCACTAGAAAATACTCTATGGATCACATCTTTGAGATGATATTTGAAAAACAGTACACTGTTCTTGAATAAGACACATGACTTCCATGCTCTCACACCGCAGCAACTGTCTCTGCCTTTTTTCTTCTTGCAGTGGTAATACAAAGTATCTCAGCTGCAGACTGAGATGACAGATTTTATTATAGCTCTATTGTACACTTATTGGAAAGTCACCTATACATTACGCTTTCAATTTTGTTCTCTGTAGGGGGAATTGATAGTGCGGTTCTATTAATAATCTGTTAGTGAAATTAAGGGCTCAAATCCAAAGAAAAGATAACCATTGTTACTACACTAAAAGATTAACATAAAAACATAATGGGTTTTTAGCATGAAATATACACTTTTTAACAAAAAGATGATGATATCCTAGGTTCATGTGGTAGGACTTTCAAAAAATACCTTTCAACTGCATGCAATATAATTTCATTATAAATGTTAATGTCAGACTGCTCAAAAACACTTTGTTAAAAAAAGAAAAAGAAAAACATCCTTTAAAGCATCTTTAAGGCATGCATTTGACTGAAACCAGAGTTTCATGAGTCTTTTAGAGCTCTCTGTCAATAGCTATCTGCAACTTGCAGGTAGTCAGTCAGTACAGATCCTTGTGGGAATAAGTCTTTTCTTACTTACTTTATTCAGTACAGGAGCAAGATGTTTTAGTACCCTCTGTCATCAAAATATCATTGACATTCAGTTCAATTAAGACATTTTGATTAAAGTCTTTTTGCTTTCTGTAGCCAGAAAGAAAAAGACCTATCTGAGACTTATGCTATTGAGAATTGTTGAAGGCATTTGTAATAATTGGACAAAATAAAATACACATGCCTTCAGTCACCAAGATGGTGGATTACTTGGGGCTCGGGTGGAGTGACTCCTGCTTCCAAATCTCCCAGTGACTTTAGAATTGTCATTGACCCAAAAGAGTAAAGGTTCTTTTCTCTCACATTCTATCTATACATGGTTTTCTAGCTCTTCCTTACTGACAGGATACATTAGGTTTTTTAAAAAAAAGGTAAAATCAGAGTGACTTTGAAAATCTTACAGTGACAAAAACAGAGCTTCAAGATAGCCAACGTTCATTCAAGAACAGACAGACAAGAACTCAATTCTACATAAGCTGTAAATTAAATTCCCAGCCTGATTCATATGCCCAAATGAATAGTAGGCATACTACATGCTGTAACATTGCAGATAGTATGTAGCTGCTATCTTGATGAAGCTGAGCAAAACACATTCTTGATTAAACTTCAAAAATAACCCAGGACTCAAATATCATTACTTTGACAACATTTTTTACCCAACAAAATTTGGAAAAAAAAAGTCTCTTCTTTAAAAAGAAGTTATCAGATAGAATCAAAGGGAATGAAGGAAAATAATTATTATCTTGGTCAGCGACTTCATAAATAAACTTCAATATATTTTGCTTTCAGTACATATGTAGCCATACTGGGTTTAAACCAACAGTCTACTTCCTACATGCTACATGCAGTGTGAAATCAGATGTACATATTTAGATCCAATATCAAAATAAATTGAGCAAAAACTATTAACACAGGGAAAGAACTCAAATTTGTCAATAAACACTGGGTTTTCAATCAGAAACAAATGTGGTGGTGCCATCAGGGTTTTTTTCTGGTGGGACTGAGATTCAAGGAAAGTTCTGTTTGTCAAACAGGCTTGCCCTCCTTGTCTTTTCATGAGCATTCTAATAGAAATTTATTAACCTAATTACTTTTCCCACTTATTCATACATCAGTGCTGCCAAAGAGAGTCTTCCTGTTTTGTTTCTGTATACTGTTATCACTCTTCCCTTTAGTTTCTTTTATAAACACACCTCTGTGCACTGAATCAAAACCTTTATATTCGCAGTATTTGAAGCCACAAACTATGAAATTTTTGGCTTCATTTTACTCTGCATTCATCCATTAAGTTATACATTATTTCTCAGTCTCAACCAGAGAGGTTTCTTTCTATGCCTATGGAAGACTCTAGTTACTATGTATGTCACTTTCAATAATATTCTCATATTTATCATTCTGAAATACTGTTAAATAATTTGCCTTTGCCTAGAGCTTTGTTTCTCCCAAATGATTTATGGGTTTCTCTGAGGTTCTTGGATTCCAGTATATGAGACATAAGAAAATATGCTCTGGACAAAGTGGATGTGGACCTAGAGGCATAGGAATTCTTTTCATATGGAATATGAGGCCTATTTGTATATTTGAACTTTATTAGACTCTGAAAAGTTACCAAAAGTGCTATTTAAGAAGCCCTTTCTGTATGCATAATTGCTAGCTGTCTAGTTTCACTTTCTCGACTGATTCTTTAACCTGAAATTGCATGAAACTACAATTTTTGGCAACACATTCAATCTTCAGTCTTAGTCCAGCTGTTGTAGTAATTATGTTAGAGTTACATTTAGTTGTCAAGGGCAAAATCTTTCTTTTCTTTCTTTCTTTCTTTCTTTCTTTCTTTCTTTCTTTCTTTCTTT